TGACAAAAATCACCTTAATGCATACTTTAAAAATATGGTAATTTAGTCTTTTTCAATAAAAATTTATTGAAACGACGTAATTTTGGGATGATTTTTCTCATAATCTTCAGGAGGTAAGACTGATAAGCATTATTTTCTATATATATATATATATATATACACAAAAACAAGCACAAGCACAATTAAGAAATTAATTTGCAGCTTTCCAACTTGATTCTTCCCTTTATTGTCAACAGCATCACAAACCTTACATGGTCATTAGCTTCTTAATAGCTTTCTCAACATCACTAAATTTTTCTCTTTTAAGTTCCCCCATTTCCTTATTCAAACACTCAACTTTAACTTTTAAATTCCAAATTACATCATGTGCTCTTCCAACTATTTTTCCATCATTCCAGTCAAAGGCATTATATTTGCCCTTTTGCTGAAAAAGGAAAAAATAGAGTAGGAAAATATAAATAAATGATAAATTTGAAAAAAAAAAAAATTAACACCAGTTAACATATCAAATTTAAGGAAACCAACCCATAACACCGGCACCCATAGAAACTAACACATCCTCCCTACCTTTGCTTCAATCCATGTAAAGTAGGAAAATACTTAGCAAAATGAGTACAACACGATCCCCAAAGTCGCCTCTCATGGGCTTTGCACGTAGTAAGCCGTCAGTCCTCTGTTAGCCTATCACTGGAATCACAAAAAACCAATAACACAGAACCTCTGAATTGATATCCACCTCCGCCTCCCACCTTCACCTCCACGCTAGATGAACACATCTATAGGGTTTGGAGTTGGCTTGGAATTTGGCCACTAATGTCAATATCCTTGAAGCAGAGCCCCACCACGCTATCCTTGGAGCAAAAACCCTTTGTTAATTTCAATTTCTAATAGAAAAGAGGTGAAGTATTTCTACAGAAGAGGAGCATAAAATGAAGTTGAATCCCTACCTTGTGGATTAGTGGAAGTCCAAAAAAGAAATACAGTTAGTCCACCATGAGATACACTATTATGCCCATTTGTGAGAATGACTTATTTGCATTGTTAGTGGAGTTGGAGGGTTATTTGTTTCATTTTAAGTTTAGAAACTTAAATGCTATTCTGGGGTAAGTTTGGAAACTTAAGAAGGGTTTTTGCCTAAATTCTTTTTTTTTTTAGAGCATTTTAATGTTTTAAAGATAGTGATGTCTCATTAATTTAAGAACTTTTTTCTTTTTTTTATTTTTATTTTTATTTTTATTTTTCTTTATATAATAGAACTTCAAATGTCAGAAGGAATAGCCTTAAAAGAGAATAAATTTAACATAACTTTTCATTAAGGTGTCTAATAATAAATAGGTCTTGCAGTTTTGAATTTAGTCTTACATTCTTTCATAGAATACATAATGAAGATGAATTATTTATTGCCTTTATAGATTAAATAATTATGGCTTTATCAGTCTAATTCCTTTGTATCATACACTTTAATTTATTTTTTATAAAACTAATATAAAATTACTTGAGGAATGACAGTCCACGTTTAGAAAAATTCTAACATCTTAATTATAAGAAAAAGTCAAAAAACAATTACATTATTGTGGGACGGAGGGATCTAAAGTTTAGAACAACATAGAAGTTAGATATGAAGAGGATGACAAAGATTCTAAAAAGTTACTGCCCTTGCCTGATTTAGTTGTCCTGTTTTCTCTATTTACGCTTATTAAAAAACTCATTTAAGACAATTATAAAGTTTTATTCTTTTATTTTCACCCTTATTCACAATTACTCAAACAACACACCTTAAAGCATTTTTATTTCATCTTAAATGATGATAAAATTGAAATATTAGTATTTAATTTTTTATAAAATAAAAGTGAAATAATTAATTTAGATGGTAAATGAAAAACTAAATAAGATAAGAGGAAGTACTTTATGTCATTAAAGTTGCATTTGAGTAATTGTCCCATGTTCCCTGTTAACCAGCATCTTGATAAAGTTATTATTTTATTATAATCAAATTAATCTTAATTAATATTTATATATTTTTCATTGACATATTTTATAATGCCTTGATTTTCACATTATTTCACATTAGAATCAAATTGTATGTTTGGTTGATATGTAAATGTTGGGATTAATTATTACCAATAATTTAAATTTAAAATTTTGAGAGATCATAAATCTTAAGCTAAAAGGTTGTTATGCCAATGATAAGATTCGAACTAGATTGTTTCACATTTTATGGAAGTATAAATTTCATAAAATTTTTATATATAATAATAAAAAAAAACCAGTACAATTGTCTTTGCATAATGGTAGAAGAACACACAACTTTTTATTTTGGTTTTTATTCAGAAACCAATGATTGAGTCCTACACTTGTTACTAAGAGTATATATATAAAATAACTTTGCTATTAAATCATACCATTGATGATAAAACACATGAAAAATAAAAACCAAATCACTAAATGGCATTTCTAGCACAGGTTAAGAGTGATTTGCATTTAAAAAAAAATTAAATAAAAATTATGGGGCTAAATTGGAATTTGATCAAAAATTCATTTCAAGGCCGACATCCAATTCCAAGCCACCAGCCCCAACTTTTCCCACTTTCTTTTTTTTTTTTTTTTCTTTTAACATTGGAGGAATTAGTTATTTCGAAAATAAGAGTTTGAACCCTTAATTATAGTTTTAAATTAAAGTTTTAACTTTTAAGTAAACATGAATTGTCAATTATTTAAATAGCTCAATAGTAATCTTTTTTCATTGGAAATAAAAGATTTTAATTTCGAATCACATAGTATGCAGATGGGGTGTGATGGAATAAGAGATGGAATAAAGTTGTCTCATGTTGTGTAACCAATAAAAAAAAATAAATAGGAACTAAATTTTTATTAATATTCTTTTTAGTAATTGTTTGGTATAAAAATTTAATATTAATGAAAAATAATTTCATCTATTTTAATAAATAAAAATAATTAAATTATTAATAATTTGTCACATGAAAATTCAGTTTTTCATAAACCAACTGAAACAGAATAAAAAAACGATTTCCCCAATATTTTTGGCTTGTAATTTACAAATGGTTAAATGATAAATTTTGGTCCCTCAACTTTAGTGAGTTGCACATTTTTGGTCCCTCAACAATTTTTTGCACTTTTTGATCCCTCAACTCTAAGAGTTGCACAATTTTAATCTTTCGTCAGTTAACTCATAGCTGCCAGTTAAATATTCCATAATGGCACCTTTTTAATGACATATCAATGACAAATCATACGATTAGCTTAGGTGTACATGCCAACTCAGATTTAATTGTTATTTTTAATTTTTTGTCACTTTTTCTAGCCATTTTTCCTCTCTTTGTCACTATTTCTCTTCTCCCCTCCCACTCATCCCCCTTCTTGTCCATGACTAGGTTCATGACGAACCCAGATATGTTCTAGGTTCGTCGCGACTTTAATATCAAGAATCAATATTGAAATTGAGAAAACATGGATCTGTAATGCAATATTCATCCACATATACTAAAATAAGGATTTGAAAAGGAAACACAAATACATGCAAATGTGAAATCAACTTATGAGTTACGACTAATGCAAACAAGCAAAAGTTATAGTCTTACATAATACATATTAGCAAGCTCCAAATGCTTGAGAAATGACAATATAGAAATTTTGAAAAACTAGTTAATAAGGTTGCAATGAAGAAAAATCTATAGCGAATTTATCAGTATTTTAACACATATTGTCGGAAACAAAAATGATTTTGGGGAAAAAGAATACAGAAATCAAAGAATGTAGTTTGCCTTTACTTTTGCCCAAGTTAGTCTCCATTTTTTATCCTTTTCAAAAACCATGGTAGAAACCTATCTAAAGAACCTAATCAGACATGATCTTTAAACAATTCTAAAAGGGATGCAAGATGCACAAAAGAAAGCAAACATTGGAATCAATCTAGTTGATAATTGTGTATGGAATGCCAAAGTCAACCAAATACTGCTCAGCTTTTCTCTTCCAAACCTAGCAAATCTGGGTTTGATGTAACCCAGCAGATGGGTTCGATGTAACCCAACAGATGGGTTCCATTGAACCCTAGCTAGGTTCGGTGGAACTCAGTTGTTGGGTTCGAGGAACCTAGCAGATTTGGGTTCAACGTAACCAGTTTGCTGGGTTCAAGGAACCCAATAGATGGGTTCCATCAAATTTGAGCTGGATTCCCTTGAACCAGTGTTTTTAGACTCGACCCGATGGTTGACCCGTTTTGGCCACCGAATCTGATTCAATCGGTTTAATCAGTTCAATCGGTTCATTCGATTGATTCAACCGGTTGATTAAAAAACATTTGTTTTACATTTTTATTAGATTTTACATTTATATATTAGTTTTACTTTATTCTTAAGAAATAATCATCATAAAATTAACTAGAAAATCATCATTTAAACTATTTGAAATAATAAATTTAATTAAATACATATAATTTTTAAGATCTAAATTAACAAATATTAAAACACACAATATAAAATAAAAATTTATAATAACTCTAACAAAAATTAAATTTTAATATTATAATAGATGATAATATAAAAAATTAAAAATATATTTGTTTTAAAAAAATTATTTTTTAAATTAAAATACATTTCCTTCCTTTATTTAAAAATT